TGGAAACTAAACTCAGAGGCTGCTTTAGCAATGGAGATGTGAGAAATCCAAGTTAGATCCAAGCAGATAATGCCAAGATGTCAGCAGAAGAAAGATTGAGGGTGGAGTTAGCAAGTGTAAGGGATGATTGTTATTGGTTAGACATTAAAAGACATAAAGAAAATGTTATTTGAGGAATTGGATGAAGGCAGACCTATGAATAGATACAGAGGACTAGTTTGTCTTCCATTTAAGAAGATAGCAAAATGTTCGACTTGGTCTTTGTCGGGTGTGGGGGAGGAATTAAATAATGAAATTGATGTGGTGGGGTTGAAATTCATGTGCATAAAATTGTGTGAACCAACTGAAGGAGGCTGGAGTCATGGTTATGGAATGGAGGTGTGTGTGAGTTTTTTAAATATATATATATATATGTGTCAATTCTGATGGATGTTCTTGGGTGCAGGTAACAACAAAAGGAAATTATACCTTATGGTTTGTGGTGGGAGTAATTAGGGTTGGCTTGATGTGCTAAGAGTTGCAATATACCATGATCAAAAGTTTCAACTCATTCAAAACTGCAGCTCATATTCTCTCCTGCATCAGGCTCCACCCATTATCCCTATCCTGGCTAGGTTCCATTGGCTAGCAGTACGCAGAAGTGAAGGATTACCTTCACATCCTCAGCCTGACAGCCAAATCTCTTGACAATACTGCTCCCCTTTATATGATCTTGCCAGCCTCAAGCCCTAATCTCCTCCCTGTGTCCTAATGCTTCTTCTGCTCCAGTCAACTGCTTATTTCTCAGTCCATCCCTCTGTCCCAACACCATAGTCGAGCCTTCAATCATGAGTTTCGTGTTCTCTGGAACTGTTTCCCCAAATCCCTTTGCCCTGGACCTTCACTCCTAGCCTTAAATCTTTTTCTTAAAAGTGTATTTTTAACTATACCTTTGCTCAGTCAACACATCTGCATTTCCTCTTGTGCAGCAGTTCACAAGTTGCTATTACCTCTTGCCCCCATTGAGTCAGATTTTTTCCAGGACCCAGCCTGACCTATTGATAGTTTAATGCTGCATTTATACTGAATGTTTTTTGTAGAATAATGTTGATGTATGGCATGGTATAAACAGTAGCTCAAGATGGTACCAAGCTTTCTGATACAACAGGTACCTGGAGCAGGTGGTTACGCCTTTTGATTCACACTATGTACCCAGTGGTACAAACTGCGTCTGTGCCTCTGTGGCTCGTCCATTGGACTGCCGAGAACTGAACAGATTGCATTTTAATGGTAAGTTGCTGTTGTGTTACTGACTCTTTGATAGCATTAAGAAGCAAACCAGTGCTAACAAAGTTAGCAAAGTTTGACTAAAACTGCTTATTTTAATTTTTTGTATGTCTGCCTTAATTGGAAAAACTTCAAAGGGTATTTAGTGTTTGAAGACAGAGAGACTGTGATTCATGCTGTGCAGAGCTTTGAATTATGAGATGTGTTGTGTCTGTCTGCAACAACCCTTGCGGGCGTTGAATCACAGATAACATGTGGAAATGTGTTGTCTGTAGCATTTTGTATGGATTAGCTGCAGTTTTTCATATGACATGTCCATTGTGGATATTTTATAATTCCCACCACTTAAATATAATTTTACTTAGGCCCCAGATGTTGTGCTGTTTACAGTAAAAAGCTACCACTGCATGAGATTTAATTTTTGCCAGGTAAGGATGTAATTTCTGTTTTTTCAACAAAACCAACAATCTTGTGATTCAGTGAATAGGGGTAACATTACGTATTTCCAAACCTCTTTCCAAAGTGGGTTGCAGAACAGCGCAAAAAGAGTTGTGACATAGAATATTGTGTCAGATTATAAGAGCTGCTAAACCATTTTACGAATGTTCACATCCGTGTTTCAACTTCTGAATATTTCTGAGTGAATATTTTATCACTTGACTTATCTGCCCCACTACATAATGACCTGACTGAGTTGAAATGGTGCAACAGGAAGATGTTGTACCACCGAGCCCGCAGGCTGGCTCTATGATCTTTTGTCCTTTTCAAAGTATTTCTTAGCATTAAAAAGCTTTGTTTTCTTGTTAACTATACTGTTCACTATACTGTAGTAATTGTTGGAGCGACTCCACATCTTACCGCATAATTATCATGTTATGGATAAAGTATCTCAGAAGAAAACTCCCAATATCCACTGTTCCAGGGCAGCTGTTGTCCAGTGCCTAAGATGGAACTATTTGAAAAAAGAGAGGAGTTTCTTCCAGTATCCTGGTGAACAATCTTGCAGATAAATTTCACTTCATGGCTGTTTATGAGAGATTGCTGTGCATGCATTGGCTGCTGTTTTCATGTACAAATATACAATCATGCCACTTTAAAATATTCCTCGCATTTGATATAGTGCCTTTCACATCAGGACAACATATCTATCCTATGCTTCACAGGATTTCTACAAAATAGCAGCCAAAGAGGAAGCTATTGAGGTGAACCTTGAAAAAAGCAGGGAAGAGATTAGTTGTAGGAGCTCTGGGATGAAGTTCCAGAGAGTAGGAGCAGATGGGCCAATGATTTGTATAGGTAGGATGAGGGACATTAAACAGCTGAGCAGAGGGAGGGACTGGGTTTGAGAATGTCAAGTATCTTGAACTTGATCTGCTGGGGGATGGGGATCTTGTGAAGCCAGGTGAGGATGGGGGTGATGAGCTGATTTTTTAATTAGTCCAGTGCCTTGGCCTCAGTAACCCTTACTGACATTTTCTCTCTTTGTACATGTGCAGTGATTAATGCTTTTGGAAATTTTATGGACCCCGACCATTGTATTATAATGGTCTGTACTGCAACAAATAAAGGTTGTTTTAACTGTATTCACATCTCTTAAATAATGTTTTTTGTTGGGCTACAATGTGAATGGTAACTATTACAGTATTTAGAATCTGTATTCTCTCTTTCTAATCCTTATGCATGCTATTTCTCTCTTTCAATGTCCTCCCCTCCAGTCTTGAAAGTGCTGATTCATGCTGGTGTATAGTTCTCCAGGTGCGTTGCTGCAGTACAAAGCAGAAGTCATGGAAATCTCATGGTCTATTTGTAATAGTTTGATCAACTGAAACAAGTTCCTATAGAAATTAGTAGTTGAAAAATTAGGCTTTAAAATAATTTGATAAATCAGTAGATTAAACCATTAATTGTTTTGAAGCAAAAAAAAGGGATAAAGTCAGAAAAGGAGCATGACTGCTGGATATTACTACGTTCAGTGAATAGGTTAAAAACAAAGCACTGGAAAACGAGAAAGCAATTGCAGCAAAATAGGATCTGTGCAATGCTATTTTTTCATTTGCTGAAATGGCAAGCAACGTTTCAATATGTAATTCTGTAAAGGCTTAAAAGGACTGTGTGTTTAAGAAGTTATAACTGTTATTCTATCCTTATCTTGTTCATTGATGAAGGCCACATTCAATACTGGAGGTGTGTTGTCTTGGGTGGTCTGCTTTCTGAAGGACATTGGTGTGTTGAAAGTTCAGAGGAAAGTTAAAATGGTGATAAGAGTCTATATATTTTAAAAAGTGTTGAACTTGCAGAAGATTGAGAGGTTTTCTTAGCACATAGATTTTTTTATTTTGCCAATTTTCTCTCTTGCCCACTTAACTTAATGGGCCTACTTCACGTTCCCCCACCCTACCATCAGCAGTCGGGCTTTCAGCCTATCTTCCCCATCCAAGAATCACTCAACTCACTCCCTTCCACACCTTTTAGAAGGTCTGTTTCAAGATCTAACTCTCACTGCACTTTCAGTCAATTTTTCCCCTCTGCACCTTGGGATGTCCTCCCAATCCCTAAATAAAATGGTGCTATATAAATGTAAATTTGTATTATATTACAAGATTCTGACTTCTGGGTACAAATTTTGGATTTGGGTTAGGAATCAGAGGACTGAAATTCTACCTAGTTTTAGCCTGCAGAACCATTTTGTCTTGACGTTTACGAAGTGCAGAACTCTGGAAAATGTTATTATTAATTCAGCATTAATTTTGAAGATGGGGGTGGTGGGGGGTTGAACTGCAGATAACCGACATCCACATTAAAACAGAATTTAAGGATCTTATAATTTAAGACCAAATAGTCTTACAAGGTCAGACCAGATAGATGTTTAAACCTCAGATGTGTAAGTTATAGTCTTATTCCACCTCCACTTCCTAGTTTATGGGGCACTGAGGCGAATTGTGTCCCAATTGCTGCCTTGCCTGACATTGGCTAATTCAGCCCATACTGAGGTTGAAACCTGCAATTTGCTGACCAGCACGGCTTACTACTGAACCAGGTGGGCCCAAACCAAGTCCAGAGGCAGACATGATACAGATGTAAAAGGGCAATAGAATTTTGACTGGAAGTGAAGTCCCAATGACACAGCACACAACTAACATAAGATTAGCCATCCTGTGCAGTGATGGAACCAGTGTGGGGTCGGGGGGGCTCATAACTCCCACCCACCACCCCATGTGACTTTGAGGTTAGCCAAAAGTCACTGAAAGTCAACTCAAACTGACTCACTTACCTGTACTTTTTTGCAATCACGTTCCTGTTATCAACAGCCCACTGACTGACTGGCAGCCCAGTCTGTCAACCACAGCCCATCATCCCACCCCCTTACCCTGTCGTAATGTCGTAAGCCTTAATAGTAATTATTGTGAAAGACTTTGAACCATTTAGACATTGTAAGCATTCTATCAAATGCAAGCATTATTATCATATTGAATCCTATTTTGTCAGTGGTTTCCTTGTGAGGCTCCTCTTTCTGTCTGGTACAACTAACCACAGTTGCTTTTGGTTTTTTTCCAGGGCATTTTTTCTTTCCATCCTTGTTCCCCCTGCCCCCAGCTGCACCTTCAGCTCCAGTGTCCAACCGGAATTGTCAAGCACGTTGGGGCATCCTTTTGATGTGAAAGGCGTTGTATAAGTCTAAATGGCATTGTATATTGTATTTCCTATAATAAACTATTGTATCTGCTGTTCAACAGGTATGGCCAGAATTGCCTCATTCAGTTTGAAGACTTTGCTAACACCAATGCATTCAAGTTTCTGAACAAGTACCGCAACAAGTACTGCACCTTCAATGATGATATCCAGGGTATGTTTTGTTTATTGCACAACATAAAATAGCAAGCTGTAGTTGATGGGATTTTATGGAACCTGACGTTTCTTATCCAGAAAATCCATAATTTGCACTCTGGCTGCATAGGTGCTTCGGAAGACCAGCTGGCGTACAGGAAGCCAACATGGCGGATAGCTGGGTCATTAGGTTGCACTAATTTCTCTATCTTCATGCTGCAAATGTGAAGAGTGCATAAAGAGTCAAAGCGGGTGTCTTCATTCCCTGCACCTTTGCCATATTGTCTGCTTATCTGGAGAGGGTTCTTAATTCTGCAAACTATTATAATTCTCAGAGCACAAAGAAGAAAGGCAGGCAATTCTAGCCAGCTTTACCTTTCCATTCACTCTGCACAAGTTCCACACAGTAACTTTCAATTTCTGGAAGCAACTGATTAGATTTGTGGGATCTCTCCTCATCCGATGTTTAACTGTTCTATTCAATAGAGGGCCTGCAGTGCATTACATGGTTGCTCAACTGAACCCATGTGGATATGTAGGGTAGATAAATTGCATTGCATATAAGTCACTGAACTGATAACTTTATGTCTTGTAATGATCAGTTATTTTAACAACTACACATTTGTTCAAAGACAGCCATGGCAAAGGTTAATCGTAGGGTCAAGAAACAGATGCTGCCCTGTTCCTGTTCAGTGTACTGTCAAAAAGATTATCAGCTCATTTAACCTAGTTTTTTGAAATACCTGTCAAAAATTTAATTAACCATAATTAATACAGAATGAGCTGATTGTTGTCCAGTAAGTTTTTATCTTAAGGGTTCAAAGTACAATTAGTTTTAACCAGTCAGACCATTTTTGTCTTTAAATTTAAAACTGCACATTTTTTCACCGGAAAACTGAGAGTTTTCCACAGTTCTTCAAAATAACCGGCTTCTAAATTGAGGCTACATTTTCTACAATATGTTTGTTTTGTAGTTATTCCAAGTAAAACAATGCACATTTACCTCAAAGAATATAAAATACCTTTTTATAGAGTCTTACCTGAGGAAAAAATTATTGACACCATATTGACTATTTTAACCATCATTTTCTTTACTACAAGATCAGTTAGTTTTGGAGAGATGGTACAAGTGACTTCTGTTTCATTCGTTCATTTTATAATAGTTCTGAATCCTCTGATTTCAAGTTATAATCACTGTTATCAAGTTTAAAATTTTTTGAGATGACAAGTGAGTTCCTACCTGTGTCATGAGCTGGCCAACACTCCCTAAGATAAAATTGGTCGTTCACTTCATGGTTGCTTGTACTAATTGTAGTAAGATCTTCAATCAATTTGACTCATGAAACAAAGATAAAAGCTTTAGTAAAGAAAATGAAGATTAAAATATTTTTTTCTCAGGTAAGATTCAATACAAAGGCGTTTTACCAGCTTTGAGGTAAACGTTACTCAAATTGCTGCGCACAAATTGGCTGCTATGTTCACCAACAAATACAGTATTTATATTTACTTTATAGTAAATCTTATGAAGCACTTTAAGGATTTTTATTATAATTTCTTCCTAAAATTCCTTTTATCTTTTTGTTTTATGAGTCAAGTTGAAGAGCTTACTATAATTAGGACAATTAGTGACCTGCTAAGATATTTAGATTGAAAATCTGACTGAATCCTTTGCTAGTTCATCAACTCTTCACCTGACATAAACTTGTTGACACTCATGAGACTAACCGTATGGAGAGTAGAGACCACGCAGCTCATTTCCCTGGTGATGATGCTTTCTTTCCACATCTTTTTGTCTTTTGTCCTGAAGAATGTGCTAGTCTTCACCCCAGTGTTTAACACCTGGACGTGTGCACAGCCTTCTGCTAACTCAGCTGTGTTATGAAGAAAATGATCATCATAAACCAGGAGAGAATAGACCATGCATTATACCATCTTAGTGAAGTGAAAATGAGCTTTAGGCCCATGAAATATAATTTCCGTTCATCTGAGAGCCCTCTGTTTAATGTTGTGTTGCAGATGTCTGAAACTTTTTTGTTTAGCTCGAAGCTGGACAATTTGAAGTATTGTCTACTTAACTGGAGATTGTATAATGTGTCCTTAATTCTTGTAACACACAGAACAAAGGCAATTATAGCTACCTTTACAAGGTGACAATACGTTCCCGATTTCTGGGGACAGTCCCTGGATGACGTCTTGTGTCCCTGGCCAAATTTGCCCTGTCCTGAGTTCAGCAACAAACTGAGCAAGCACCAGCTTGATCTTTACCACTTCCTGCGCTCCTAGCCTTCTGGGCTAGTGGCAAATTATAGATACTTGACCTAGACTAATTGAAGCTCGGTTGAAACTTCCTAAGCATGTGTCTGCTTACAGCTGGTAGCAGACTTATGTTCCAACGCAGTTGTCAGATGTGAAAGCATCGTGCTTTCTCCCTTTTCTTCCAAAATTGTAATAATTTCTGATTTAGTCAATTGGCAGATTGCTTTCTGGGGTAATAATACCACAAAAAAAAATTGGTCACTCAATCCACGATTGTTTAGGGGACATTGCTCTGTGCAATTGACTGTCGTGTTTCGCCCACAAAAAATACAGGCATTCCACCTTACAATATATTCTGTGAAGCATCCCAATGACGTGATAAGGTACTCTCAGAAATGCAAAGATTATTAAAATTCTTCAGCATCAAATTGATCCTAAATGGCAATTTAGTGAGACCTTATAACAATTGCTGATGATGGTGGGGAAGTTCCACACAGGAGCCTGATAACAATTTTTCTGATAACTACATGGCTGCATCTTCAGGGAGTTTCATTCAATATTTATTTTAAATCTTACTCCACACGCCTAATAATAATCCCTTCAAAAAAAACAATAATAAATTGGTCATTTTGAATCCATGACTGTTTGTGGGACACTGCTGTATGCAATTGGCTGCTGCGTTTCGCCCACAAATATACAGTCAATTCACTTTACAGTGTATTCTGTGAAGTGCTTTGAGACGTCTAGAACACGTGAAAAGCGCTATATCAAATGCAAGGATTATTATTATTAAATTGTTAAAATCTGTGCATTTTGTTCAATGATACAAGGCCAGGTTGATCATCAACCATTTGTTTTTTGGGGCCACAACTTTTCTGCTGTTGGGAGCAGAGTTGATAATGAGACCGCTTCCGTGATTTCCGTTAACTGATACGGAGAAGAACTTCATTTCCCACGATTCAATGCAATTCCAACACTTGCTGGTAAGTGCACATTCGGCGGTGGATCAAGACCCATTGAATCGCAGGAAATGTAGTCTTGACCCGTCACTGCATGCGTAAATGCAAACTTGCAGGCTGCATTGAGGTACACATGCATGATGTAGATTATTAATTAAATTAGATTTTATGTGACTTGTACAGTTTGCCTGCAACTCTGACCTTGTGTAAGTCATATTAAATGTTATTGTCCCAAGTGATACGACTTATGTGAGTTTTACTGTAAACAGTTTTTCAGGATCCAGATATCCTATTGGAGCACCGAGGATTTTTCTTTGCGACAATCATTTGTGTGATACAACAAATGAGTTCACGGTCATTTGAGTAATATAACGGGTCATCAATGCTTTATTATGAGAAGTCTGTTTGTTTAGGTACAGATTAGACTGATGCCTTCAGGCACCAAATGTTCTCTCATGAAGGTCCTGTCCTGAAAGCAGCTGAGATTCAGATGCTGAGCTTGGCCATTGCCTACGTTCTGTCAAACTTGAATGTAGCCATTGCATTTTTTAAAAAATAATTGTCTGGGAGGAATAAATATAACTTTGTGCACATTGGCAGTGTGTTGTGCAAGTAAAAGTTTTAACAGACTCATAAATACTTCTGCCCATTTGTGGTGACTTGCCAAATTCAACAGTTGATTACTTTTGAGTGTTTGAAATGTTTCAGTGTGATAAGGCGTTATAGAAATATGAGTTCTTACAGCAATCAGGTCTCAATATCACATTTGTTTGGGATCCATAAAATCCTGACCCTCACTATAGTGAGGTACAGTAGCAGATTTGACTGCTAATGTGTAGCTGTCTGACTCTTTCCAGCCAATTCATGGTCAAAAAGAAAGAAATGGCCAATTTTTGGTAGTCAGTTCAATCCTAACGTCATTTTTAACATTTGCTCCAGATACATATCAATAATAGACGCCAGTGGTGACCTATTGAACTAGAAGTGAGCTATTTTAGTGCAAAACTGGCTCACACGTTAGAAAGAGGAGCGGCTGTTGCCTTCAAAGAGAATGGGGTCTCTAGTACAACCAAATCTGTGCTTTAATGAAGTGTGTGGTAATGGAGCTACACTGTACATATGGTCTTACCAATGAACCAATGTTTTACTTCTGAGTGTGTGTCTTGATGAATTCAATACACATCTTGATGTACTCTGTCATCTTGATCCATTTGTTTCACTTAGTACAGTGTCCCAAGTATTCTTTAATTTATTTTTTTTATTTTAATTTGGTCACTCTGTCTGCTGCTGTCTGATACTGCACTCTGTCTGATACTGCTGTGCACAATTGGCTGCTGCATTTCACCCGCAAAATACAGTCAATCCACTTTACACTATAGCCTATGAAGTGCTTAGAGATGTCTCAATGACATGATTAAATTCTATATCAAATGCAAGGATTATTATTATTATAATAAACAAAATGTGTTTAAATGCCCACCCATAATTAGGAAACTAAATGCAGGCAAGCTTATTAAAAGAGTTGAACCAAAACCCTTCAAAAATAAGGCATTCAAAAGTCCAGTTTGAAAGTGATCATATAACCTGGTGTTTTATACCTTTTCTGGTATTTTGAGATTATAATAATGATAATGTTCATTTTGGTACAATTTGTGGTCTTAACACAATTTGGTAAAGTTAAATTTTTTCTAGTGAATTTGCAGTGTGTCTTAACACGTATAAAAGTAACCATTTTTGAAATTGATCCACAGAATATTTAGCCTAAAGCAGTGCACAACTTATAGCTAATGTAAAAAGAATTTTG